TCTTTACTCCTTCTTCATACATTTTACAAACATTGAAATATAATTCACATAGTACTCAGTTCACCAATTTATTTAAAAATTCATTGTTTTTTAGTATATTTACAACTTACAAGTACAAGGTTGTACAACTGTCACCAAATCTAATTTTAGAATGTTTTTAATCACCAAAGAAAGAAACCCTTTACCCGTTAATAGTCACATCTCATTTCCTCCAATTCCCACAACCTCAGATAACTTCTAGTTTACTTTCTGTCACTGTACATTTGCCTATTGTGACCGTTTTATATAAATGAAATTATACAACATGTAGCATTTTGTGTCTTGCTTTTTTTACTTAGCATAATGTTTTCAAGGTTCATACATATTGCAACAGATATCAGTACTTCATTCCTTTTTATTGCCCAATAATATTCTGTTATATGGGTCTGCACATTTTGTTATTCATTAGTTGATGGACATTTATTTGTGTTGTTTCCACTTCTGGGCTATTATGAATAGTAATGATGCTATGAACATTTATGTACAAGTTTTTATATGGACATATATTTTTATCTCTCTTGGGTATATACCTAGGACTAGAAATTACTGGGTCATATCATAACTTTAACTTTTTGAGGAGCTGCCAAACTGTTTCCCAAAATGTTTGCACCATTTTATATTCCCAAGTAGGAGAGCTCTAATTTGTCCACTTCCTTGCCAATACTTGTCTTTTTGATTATAGCCATCTTACTGGTTATGAAGTGGTATTTCATTGTGGTTTTGATTTGTGTTTCTCTATTTACTGACCATGTTGAGCTTCTTCTCATGTGCTCATTGGCCACCTGTGTATCATCTTTAGAGAAACGTCTGCTCAAGTCTTTTGCCTATGTTTTAATTGGGTTACTTGTCTTTTATTGTTCAATTGTAGGAATTCTTCATATATTCTGGATACAAATGCCCTATCAGATATATGACTCAAATATTTTCTACCATTCTATGGGTTGTCTTTTCACTTTCTTGGTGGTATTGTTTTCAGGACAAAACTCTTTAATTTTGATGTATTCTAATTTATATAATTTTTCTTTTGTTTCTTGTGCTTTTGGTATGATTGCCTAAGTCAGCATTATAAAGATTTACTCCTTTGTTTTCTATTATATATAGTACTATATTGTATTACAGTTTTGGGTCTCACATTTAGGTCCATGATCCACTCTGAGTTAATCTTTGTGGATGGTATGAGGTAGAGGTCTAATTTCATGGATATCTAATTGTCTCAGCACTGTTAATTTTTTTTTACCTTTATTTTATTTTATTTTTATAGCTTCATGAGTAGAAAGCATAATTCATTTATTTTCTGCCTTATATTCTCTAATAAGTGCATTTAAGCTGTAATTTCCTTCTGTGAAGGGATTTGGGTATATCCCTCAGATTTTGTTTTATTATCATTGTTAATTTTTGCTTCCCTTTTTACTGTTAATGTCTGTTTTTATTGCATTTCACACAGTGAATGCTGCTTTTATTATGTTAGTTCAATATAATTTTATCCAAAGGACATTTCTATTAAAAAATTTAACAAGGTCAAGGGTTCAGATCCCCGTATTGGCCAGTCTCAAAAAAATAAAAATTAAAAATACTGATAAAGCCGTTTTCCAACATTATAGATAAATTGTACCTTTTTATTGTATCCAATAGCGCTATGTACTTGGTATGTGCTCAAATTGGCCAGTCTCAAAAAAATAAAAATTAAAAATACTGATAAAGCCGTTTTCCAACCTTATAGATAAATTGTACCTTTTTATTGTATCCAATAGCGCTATGTACTTGGTATGTGCTCAATAAATATTGGTGGAAGGACCTATGTGGAGCAAGCATTCAGAGGAAATGTACACCTAAGCGATAGCAGTGATGGACATGGCAGTAATAATACCTACTGAGCACTTCTCTGTGCCAGGCCTCATCTAAGCACTTTGCCTGTATTCACCTACTTGGCCTTCATAACAATCCCACGAGGCTGGAACTCTTTTTACTCCCATTTCACAGGTGAGAAAGTGGAGGTGATGCAAGATATACTTGTTTGCCTAGCGATTCACACTGAGAAAGAGCCAGACGTGGGTTTTGAATTAGTCTGGCCCTAGATCCCACTCTCATAACCAATATGCTGTACTGCCTCCCAAGTGGTCACTTTTCCACAACATTTAATTGGTCTGATTCCTAAACATTTCTCTAATTACTTTGAATGTGTTCAGTGAGGGAAACTCTTGGCCCATGTCTCACAGTTGTTTGTTAGAAATTGCTAGTAAAGAATTGTCCACACTTCACTGCCACTCTAAACTGTGCCTTCAAGACACTGCATAGCTCGCCCTTGGGCTGTAGAAGTCAGGCACCCATGAAGGAAGGCTAGTCCAGGACCTATTGATTTTAATTTTTTGTGTGTGACAAAAGAGACTTCAGAAGAAATGCAATTAAGGATCTCTCATGGCTTGTTCTAGAGACCACGCAAGCTCAGAAAACCTTGGTTTTTGAGATCGAGTGTGCACTCTGATAAAAACCGAGTAGATTTTCATGGACTCTTTTCCTTGTGCTTCTCTTATACATAGAGAAACCTGGTCTTTGGAGCTCTGATTGAAAATAATTTGTTATTGTTAGGGATATTTCCAAACCAAATGACGGCTATTTTTCTCTCCCTATTGAAGATTGGAAAGCTACATCCTTGAATACTTATTGAATAAAAGTTCCTTCTTTCTTTCATCAAGAGAATGGCTTTTGTACTTTTGTTCCCTTCCGTGCAGTCTCTGTGCAGCTTCCTTGTGAGAGAGCAATTTAATTTGTACTGCACAATCATTTTCTTGTGAAAAACTAATAAAATACAAATTCCATTTTTCAGCATTAGGTTGTGGCTAAAGGCTTTTGAAAGTTTTGTGTAGTATCTCCTTTTCTTTTTCTATTTTTTTATTTGATGATGACTGAGAGGGGAGATGTAAATGTTCACATGTATTATGTACATGGTTAATAAAGAAACTGTTTCCTTAAGTTCAGAGTTTCTCTCAAAGCAAAAAATATAAGGGAATACTTCGCGTTCAGCTCTCAAGGCTTTTCACCTTCCTGAAAGTAGATGTGACTCAGGAGTGAAGCAAACGAATCTGTTTTTCTTCCAAGGCATCTCATTCACTTCTTCTGACAGGTCAAGTGATGTCTAGGGCTCTAGTGTGTGCATTTTACTAAGTGAAGCCCTGGGAGCTGTTGCATTCTGCAGGTCGCCTCAGAAGTAGAGGATGGCTGCTTTTATTTTGTTGAGATGCTTTACATAGGAATTAAGTCCTAATGATAGTGATAGTAATAACAGGTGATGTATAGTGAGCACCTGATATGTGTGGTGAAATGTGCCAGGTGCTTGGTGTGTACTGTCCTCACAACAAGTAGATAGTTTTTGTTTCTTTTTACACATGGAAGAACAGGCAAGTAACTTATCCATAGTCATACAACTGGCAGGTGGAGGGACAAGCTGAAACCCAGTGAGTCTGACTCCCGTGTTGAGTCTTTTGTCCATGAGGAGTAACCAAGAGATATACATTAGATACACATTCCTAACACTAAGGCCAACGGTTCAGATCCCTGTACTGGCCAGCTGCCAAAAAAAAAAAAAAAAAAAAAAAAAAAAAGAAGAAAGAAAGAATGAATGAATGAATGAATGAAATTCAGTCCTTCCACACCCTGGATTGTTGGGAGTCAGAGGTACATGCACACATGACTTTTTACTGAGTAGCAAATGTGAACAAACACATTTTGTTTTCTCATCTCCTGTGAAATCCAGCTGATGCTGCTTCTGAGGGGAGATCTGTTACCCTGCTTTGCCCTCACATGACATCTGCTCCTCCACCCGTTGCTTCTATGTTGCCCTCCCCTCCTGACATCCCAGGAAGAGAAATTCCCCCTGCTTCATTTTCCCCTTTCCCTGTTTTCTTGTCAGTTTCATCTCACAACATCTTCCAGCCCCTTTATCTCTCCTCCTGTTTGAATTGTAGTAATTAATTCTTGGAGGGTGCTTGCACGTGACTCTGGAACCACCTGAATTATAGGAAGGCAGAAGGCAGAAGGCAGGAGGACAGACTCCTTCCGTCCGTCCACTCTCTGTGGGTGGTCTCTGTCTGGCTGCAAGGAGTAGCTTCAGCAGTTGCCAATGACTGATCATTTGACAATCGAGAAAACTTACCTTTCCAAAGCTAAAAGTCTCTCAATAAAGTTTTCTCACTGAGTGAGGTGGGGGGAGGGACGCCCCAAAAGAAACAGGATGTAGATAATACCACTGGGCTCTTGCAGATTCCTTTAAAGAGTGTTTGAATGACAGAGATAAGCAGTAAAGAATAGCTTGATTCTGAAACCTGACTCTACCTTTAATCTTGTAGTGTCAGTTCCTTGAAAGTGGATTCTTCAAATTCATATTCTAAGCTTCCCCATCGTCTTTATTTTAACTCCAAGGAAAACAATTATTGCAAACATAAGAGATATTATCTGTGAAATTCCTACCAAAGTTGGGGAAGAGGCAGAAGGGCAGAAGTCGGTCCTACCCGAAGCGACTTGGAAGGCTTCTGCCCCTTGCTTTTGAGAAGTCAGGGTTGTATCCCTAACCGAGAAAGAGTCACCTGCCCTCCCTTGCCCTCACCCACCCATCCATCCACTCAGCCTCCAGCATGTCGCAAATGGGACAACCCCATTTCCCGCCTTTCCTTGGCCAGAGGCTCCCCCAGGACCTCGAGGGTTGTGAGGACCTGACACGCCTCGCGCGGAGAGGCTCCGTGGGTCCCCGCCCCCTCCGCAGGTGCGGCCCTAATCCCCCCTGGCCTAGATATCCGGCAGCCTCTAGGAACCCGGGCTCTGTGATGTAATGCTCTTTTTTCACACTCCCGGCTTAAATACAGATGGAAATTGTTGTCATGTGTTAGAAATGTCGCCAGTAATATAAAAGGCGCAAGCTTGGGCATCTTCTCTCCCTTCTCGCACCATCAGCTGCTCCTCCTGCCAGCGCCTCTTCCCTCGCAAAACCGCCCTGTGGTCAGGTGGCCGAGGCGCCCCCAGCTCGCCTAGGAAGGGGTTCGGATCCCACCCCCCACCCCCGCCTCTCTTTACAGCCGCTGCAGAGCCGAGGACCAGCTTGGTGGGAGGCTCTTTCAGGCTCACAAAGGGAAGGATTAATCTTGGCGATTGGGCTGAGGTTTGCAGGCAAGTACAAGTGGTCCATGATCTCCCCCACCCCCCTCCGGATTCGAACGCTCCGCCGCCGGAGGAAGCCTGGGGACAGGCAGGCGGCGGCCGAGGCGCCCTGCCACTGGAGCTTTGCGCTTGGGTTGTGGGAACGTCCATGGAGGTGAAGATGCCCTGTGTGGTGTGTGCACCAGGGAGGAGGGGCGGGGAGAAACCGGGCCAGCTTGGGAGGACCAGAT